CCCAGGCCAGCACCCTCTTTGGCAGCTCAGCACCTTCCAGGCCGGGTCTTGTCTTTCCAACCCTGCTTGCTGAAGTCAGGTCACTGGGTTTTAATGAGAATGGGACCACGGACAGGTTCTGTGTCTGCCAGCTTGGTTGTGAGCTCCTCCCGTGGCTCCCGTGGGCTGAGTGGGGAGGGAATAGTCATAATTAGCACCCCACTCTCCTCAGTGAGCCCATCGCTGCACCCTCTTCTCAGCACCCACAATGGACAGGACTCAGGAAGGACACCAGGAGCCCCCCCTAAAGCCAGCCCCTGACCCAGGAAAGCTGGGTGGGGCGGGGGAGGGTGGCAGGGGAGGGTTCCTCCACCTGAGGAAGCCAGAGGGCATGGGGCCCAGGCAGAGGCCCTGGGAGTGGGGCTCGGCCTGGAGGGTGAGAGGATTTAGGGGTCTGGAGGATATGGGGGCTCCGGGGGTTCCAGGGCTGATGGGGTGGGGCTGGCTCAGGGGACTGGGAGCTGCTGAAGAGGGCACATCTGAGGCACATGGTGGGCAGCCCTGGGTCCTGCAGCTGCCCTGACTCAGCTCCGCAGGACACCTGTGCTCCGCCTTCCAGGAGCACCCATGGCCCCAGCCCTCCAGGGAGCACAGCCCCCCCCATCCCTCCGGGAGCACAGCCCCTGTCCCTCCAGGGGAGCGTAGCCCACCCCGGCGGAGAGCACAGAGCTCCTTTCTCACCCTCAGCCGTGATGCGGAGGGAGGCTGTGAATGAGTCTTTCAGACCCGGAGGAAATTCCTAAAATTCTTAGTGGGTAGTTCTGAGTCTCTGCACACAGATTCTCTGTGATGCTTAAGAGACCACGCAGCCTGCACTGTGGTGACGGGGCAGGGGGTGCCCGCCCTTCTCGGACCCCGGACCCCGAAGGGAGCTCAGTGGGTGTCAGCAGCCTGGCACCTTGCCTGTCCCACCAGGCTCTGCACTCAGGTCCCTGCCACTGGCTGTGCGAGTTGGCACCCAACACACAGAAGAGGCCCCCACAGCACACACGCTCTGTCTGCGAAAACCACACTCACCCCCGTGAGGGGCACGTGACCTGCACGAGAGAGGAGCGCCCGCCGCCCAAGCTCCCAGACACCCAGGGTCTGCTCTGGTTTCGCCCGTCAGCCCCTCGACTGCACGTCCGGGTGGAGGGAAACTCACTTAGAGAAAAGCCAGAATGGGATGGAGCAGAGCCCCGCGTGCGTCACGCGGACAGCCGGCCTGTTTGCTTTACCGTGGGCTGCACACGCACACCACAGGCTTGCACACATGAACACCACGGGCTGCACACACATGCACACATACCACGGGCTGCACAGGCACACACATGCACAGACGTGCTTGCCTGCATTTGTTCTGAACCACGACCGCGGACCCAGCTGCACCGAGAAGCCCCACTGGGTGACTCGAGGCCCCGCAGAGGGTGGGCTGACTCAGGAGGGTGACGGTGACATGAGTCATTGTGATGCCAGCATCTGTGCGGGGATCCAGCTCAGAGCGAGGGTGTTAGAGGTGGTGGGAACCGGGGGTGGCAAGTGCAACCTTGTAGCTGCAGTCAGGGAAACTGAGGCCCAAAGCCACACCAAGCCCCTGCCCGCGTGCCAGGCTGAGCCCCTCCCAGGAGAGCCTCCCTGTTGCCCTCAGTCCAGTTGTGGCATGGGCGTGCAGCCCTCCTAGCCCCTCAGGACAGGCTCTAGCCACGCGCACCACGCGAACGGGCCTCCGTGACATCTCTGTCCAGGCGTCCAGCTGGCACCTTCCCTGGGACCCTCAGACACCCCCAGCACCCGATGCTTGTCTAGGTCCTGACTTTGGGTCCCAGGTGGGGGGGGAGCCTGGTGGGGGCGAGCAGGACCCCAGGCGAGGACCCTCCTGGATCCACAGAGCCTGTGGTGACCCNAATTCTTAGTGGGTAGTTCTGAGTCTCTGCACACAGATTCTCTGTGATGCTTAAGAGACCACGCAGCCTGCACTGTGGTGACGGGGCAGGGGGTGCCCGCCCTTCTCGGACCCCGGACCCCGAAGGGAGCTCAGTGGGTGTCAGCAGCCTGGCACCTTGCCTGTCCCACCAGGCTCTGCACTCAGGTCCCTGCCACTGGCTGTGCAAGTTGGCACCCAACACACAGAAGAGGCCCCCACAGCACACACGCTCTGTCTGCGAAAACCACACTCACCCCCGTGAGGGGCACGTGACCTGCACGAGAGAGGAGCGCCCGCCGCCCAAGCTCCCAGAC